AACACTTGGCTAGGTACTATTCTCAAGCTATCTCTGAAGGTTGGAGATGCAGGAAGTTCAGTGAAGGTTTAAGGTATGAGCTGAAAAAGACTATTGTTCCTATGGGGATTGTGGAGTTTCCAGTTCTAGTTGAAAAGGAAAAAACAGTTGAGAGATTTGAAGGAGGAAATAGAGTGGAAAAGGGTCCAGAGGGATCATCTGGATTTGGGAGGGGGAAACATCCTCAAAAGAGACCATCTCAGTTTCAAACTACTACTACAGGAGCTGTTCAGAGTATTAGATGTTACACATGTGGAGGCCCACATATGATGAGGGACTGTCCTATAAAGAACTATGTGTGTTTTAAATGTGGCAAGGTGGGTCACATGGCTAAAGATTGCAATGTCAGAAATACTCCAGCTAGAGAGAACCAGAAAGTGGATCGGCCTACTGCAGCAAGTCGTGTTTTTGCTTTAACAGGTGCTGAAGCTGAAACGTCATATGAGCTGGTAAAGGGAAAGGGCAAAGTTGATGGTAATGATATTTCTATTCTATTTGATTTTGGTGCTTCACATTCTTTTATTTCTTATGAATGCGTGGCAAGGTTAAATTTGGTTGTGAGTTCCTTGTGTGTGGATCTAGTTGTTTCTACTCCAGCTTCAGGTTCTGTTTTGACTTCTGAGGTTTGTTTAAAGTGTCCAGTGGAAGTGGAAGGGTATTGTTATAAAGTGAATTTGTTTTGTTTACCTTTATCTGATTTGGATGTAATTTTAGGGATGGATTGGCTTTCTGCCAATAGGATTTTGATAGATTGTTCAGAGAAGAGATTAATCTTTCCTACTGTTGAACAGGAGATGTTTATTTCTAGTAGACAAGTGGATGGGTTGTTGAAGGGTGGAGCTCTTGGGTTTATGATCCTATCTTTTATCAGTTTAGAGAATGAAAAGTTGTTGAATAGTATTGATGTTGTTAGAGATTTCCCAGAGGTTTTTCCGGATGATGTTCCGGGGTTACCACCAAAACGAGAGTTGGAGTTTAGTATTGATCTTATACCAGGGGCGGGACCAATGTCTATTTCTCCTTATAGAATGGCACCAGCGGAGTTGTCTGAATTGAAGAAGCATGTTGAAGAGCTTTTGGAGAAGCAAATGATCAGACCTAGTGTATCTCCGTGGGGAGCACCAGTGTTGTTGGTAAAGAAGAAGGATGGTGGCGTGAGGTTATGTGTGGATTACAGACAGTTAAATAAATTGACAATCAAGAATAAGTATCCATTGCCAAGGATAGATGATTTGATGGATCAGTTAAAGGGAGCTTTTGTTTTCTCCAAGATTGATTTGAGGTCTGGGTATCACTAGATTCGGGTAAGGGAGGAGGACATACCAAAGACTGCTTTCAGGACTCGGTATGGCCATTATGAGTATGTTGTTATTCCTTATGGAGTGAAGAATGCTCCAGCTGTTTTCATGGATTATATGAACAGGATTTTCAGACCCTTTTTGGATAAGTTTGTGGTGGTGTTCATTGATGATATTCTGGTTTATTCTAGATCTATGGAAGAACATAGAGAACATCTGAGGATAGTTTTGCAGGTATTGAAGGAGAAAGAGTTATTTTCAAAGTTTTCAAAATGTGAGTTTTGGTTATTTGAAGTTAAGTTCTTG